TGGTTTTGTCTTGCAGTGCACCCACAGTCGACGTCCATACCACAGTCTCTCCATTTCCTACTTTCACCTCTGCAACCGCGTCGCCTCCTGAATGAACAACAACAGTCACGTCTTCGGTATCTGTGCTAACAAACGTGAGTTGGACAACACCGTCGCCTGCTTTTTTCCACGTGCCGTCGCTGCCGGCAAAGGCGTCGTCTTTAGTCTTGAGTCCCAGAGCATCGGCGAGTGATCCATCATCAATCTCACCCAGGAACTCTGTGGGTCCACAAATCGGCTGTACGAACTGCGACGTCATGTATGTGATTCCTGTAGGGTCCATAGATGAAAGTACTAGTAGACCCATGTTCGAGACCTGGAGCATATACTCATCAGCAGTGAGCGAGGCTCCCAAGTCAGTTTTGGACTTGTCGATCAGCTGGTCGATGATAACTCCGAATGATTTACGAAGCACGTCGCGAGATTCGTATGCTGCCTCTTTCGTTTTAGTAAGGAGAAGCTCACCCAGACATTCGTTTGTCACAATGGGCACATCATTCAGTACCAGTGGTGAACGACCCATGAACGATCGGATATCCTCCTTTGAAATGTCCGGTGTCTTTACGCGAAGATCGTTCACAGAGGAGATAACGCGGTCTGTCAGCCTCTTTAGCTTGTAGCCACACGTTGAACCCGACTCAATCAATGTGGTGAGATTGGTGATACTCTCGTTGTCGAGTTCTTTGGTCACATTGGTACCGTCCGTCGTCTGCAAGAACTTCATAAATTCATCTGCTGAGCTCAAGACGGTGTCACGGTTCGTGATGAGTTGTTTGGCAATGTTCTCGGCTACAGTGAGCACCATATCGGCATATTTTGCGTTGGCAGGAACTGGCAGACCGAGACAGTTGCAAATAGCGACGGGCATATCGATCAGGAAGACGTCCGAGCTGTACGCGATAGAGAGTAGTTCCTCTTCTGTGCCGTTCGTGCTTGTCTGCCGGTATCGTAGGAACTGGGCGAGTTCTACACTCACTGAGTACAGATTCGTCGCACACGTGACACCACGCTTGATGGCGTTGTATGCGGACAGGATGGAGCTGAATACACCCGACGTCGCAATATTGACTGCAACTGAGAGCACCGACGTCACTTTGTTGAGAACTGCAAGTGTACAATCATCGTTTTGGGGAATGCATTCGGCAGCGCACTCTACGGGATAGGACAGTGGACACTGTGCGGCGCATGCTTCATTTTCCTTTGAGTATCCCAATGAGCAAGTTCCAGCACTGTCAGTGGGGTATGTCTTCCTGTAGCACGCAGTGTCGGATGATTTGCCAATGGTAGGACCGACCCAGTTCGGCGGTGGGGTAGCTGCTGGAGCGATTGTGCGTGCTGGAGTCGGAAGAGGAGTTGGAGGTTCTGTTGGGTTTTCCCTGTTGTATGGAGAGTATCGAGAGCCGTCACGTGGCAATGGGAGCTTCTGTGTTTGGTTTCCTTTGACGTATGGAGAGAACCCAGTGGTCGACGTTGATGGTTCCTTGGTTTTTAATAACGACGAGAAGTCGATAGACTTTACGACGATACGCTCCTCTGCGTTGTCATCGTCTGCTGGGGCCTCGCGTGATTTTAGTTCTTGGTTGCTCTCACTTAGCTCTTGCTCAAAGGTAAAAACCAACGAGGACGAGTTTCGTGCTACGGTGCAGGTTCGCAACATGAACGCACTAACCAGCGACACTATGGCCCAAAGCGTTCCCAACACTCGACAGACTCTCATCCAGGCTAGCAAATCGCTACTGAGAGTATTATTTCGCGCTATATTTCGCTCGAATGCGCACAAGTACATGTACCTGGATAGCCGCATCGTTAGCTAACGTAAGAATCTTTACTAATAACGCCAAACGTGGCGTATGTGATCCAGGCGGGAAAACAGATTTGATCGGTACGATCACTCGATATTAGTACAGTAACCCGACTCATCAGTGACGACATTTATTAGCGATTTAACGAGTCGAACTATGAGTGAATATGGACCAGACACTCTTCGACTCCCCAAACAATGCCCTCCCTACGTTCATTAACTCGAAGTTTGGGTTTCTTAGCGTTTCGGCACTCAGGCAATCGATTATTGCTGGAGTTCGAACTCCTATATATGTAGCAAGGGCAAAATAACACAGGTCTGTGTCACCATACAAATCTCAAACATTGATTTTGCTAAGCCTCTTCGAACCTTTTTTTTAATACGAGATCGCCTTCCATTCCCTCGTCTTCAAACCGGCGCGCAGTAGATCCCTACTAATGCCGTGTTTTACACGGGGAAGCTCAGGATTTTCATGCTAGGTTACTGTTGGTAATGCTGCAGTCCTAGCAACAACTTGTAATGATTCCGGTCGAGTATTGACATGGACTAATTACAGTAACTTCCATGGGCAGTGTACTCCGCAGACTTTGCTTTTTTACAACACACCAACTAAATGTTTGCGATTTGTTTGTGCTCTTAATTAGAACGTATAGGTAAACTTCTTGAATAGTATACCTTTGTCGGTAGTTTGGACAAATCTTCATTCAGTAAGAACGAGTAGTGTCGGATGCTCTACTTGGCTTACTGTAAGTTTACGTCGTATCGGTGGTGTTGCTGCGCGCTTGTTCCCAATAGAGTTGAAACTCAGCCTGATAGCAAATGGTTCCACGAAATAAAGCTGCTCAAGTGTTTTCTTCTGGTTTCGGCCGCGTACAGCGACACTGTAGTGAATTTCTCGATGTACGCTCGTTTGCAGCCACATCAACATACTTTTTAACGTCAAGAGAGAGAGCTTATGGCGGAAAATGATAAACCAAGAAGCAAGCGGGTTACAGCGACAAGGTAGGCTAATGGATAAATGTGTGTATTACTATCCCCTTTAGTCCCCGTCGAATTTCCGTCGCTGCTTGTAGAGCGTGGCTTCGGACGACATTTACCATAAATGAATTACTTTCGTCTTCCGTAATTTACCGATGATACTGCACTTGGCCGCCACAAGCAACATTCACATGTTTGCATGAGTTGTGCCACGGGTTTGAGATATCAAGGTATGACGTACTTGATTAAATTAAGGATCTTGCTTCAGATACGAGCAGAAATCACGTGTATCTAACATCAGGAGGGATATATTGGGTACGACTTTCCTGTGGCAATATTTTATAACAGAAGTATCAAAGTCAACAGGAACTAATTGAAAGTTTGAGTAAGTTGAGAAATGTTGGGTTCCTGAGTATAAATTTCTACAGTAGGTTTGGGTTAGAATGACACGCCTCCTGAAACTCTGGATATAAATCCAGAGAACAAAAGCATTTTTACGCGTTTCGGATACCCGAACGTCAGGCACCCGTACCACTGTTTAGCATTTCGTTTCGGGAGGTCTCAAGTGCATTCAACATATTTGTGTGTGTTTTACCTTGAGGGAGAAACCAACTAGAATATTTTTTTGTGCTACCTTGCAAATTGCAGAATTTTTGCTTACAAGTTAGAAGTCAAGCTGAATCGGGTGGGAATCTGTTGTGCGCACACTTTCAACACCACACCGGTGGGTGTTAACCGAACGGTCATGACAACGTCTCTCAACACATAGTATAGTCTTGTGAAATCTGGCTAGATTTTTGGTGTTGATGAAAGGTGGCCTTCCATTTTGCTAGATTTGTTGGGGTCTTATGGCATGACATGGTTTAGATCGGACGTGCTTTTAGCAAAACTCTCATCATTGTCAGCTCCTCACCAAGTATATATGCAACAGTCGATCAATCTCCTAGACTTCTTTGAGCTATACAACAATCTCAATGAGGCGCTTCAATAGGAGGTGTGAGGTGCTCTTCAGACGCTCAGTATAGAAAAAAAATATTCGGCAGCAACTAACGAGGAAGAAGACCCCTGGAGCATTGCTACGGGTCACCTACTAGTCCTACATTAATGTTTGCCCCTTTTACAATTATCATCGTTCGCGACTTTTTTCGGTTCCGAGATAATAACTTTTAAATTACATCACGACACGATCACATGTTTACATACCAGATACTCTGACTTGAAAAGTAAAACCTTAGGAGGTGGACGTTCACTGGATCATCGATCCATTATAACAAGTGCAGCAATAAACACCGGCCCTTTATGTGATACCATCATCCCGAGTCCCAACAAAGCACTTTTCATTTCGACAATTAAAAGTAAAATAATCATTTCGCTTTTCTTAAATTACCAAATGGTAAGATTAAAAAGTCTAATTTAAAAGCACTTTTTTTTACAACATCACCCTTTTTCCCCAAATACAAGCCCTTTCAAATGCCAATCTTCCCTTCCAGATCCGAATCACATCCGTCCCCCGCATCCAAAAATGGCGATGGCAATAGGGATGAAGAGCATCACGGGCGACGCGCACTTCTTCGAGGAGAGCATGAACCTGGACCGTATCCGCAAGCTCCTGGACAACAAACTGGGTGTCGCAGGCCACAGCGAGAAGCTGGAGGCCATGAAGGCCTTACTGGCCAGCATCTCCAAGGGCGAAGACGTGTCTCCGTTCTTCGCCGACGTGGTGAAGAACGTGATCGTGGCCAGTGTGGAAGTCAAGAAGCTCGTGTACATGTACTTGGTCCATTATGCAGACGCCAACGCGCAGTGCCGCGAGCTGGCGTTGCTCAGTATCAACAGCTTCCAGAAGGACCTGGCGGACCCTAATCAGCTCATTAGAGCGCTGGCGTTACGGGTCATGACCAGTATCCGGGTCCGTGACATCGTCCAGATCCAGCTCATCGCTATCCGCAAATGCGCGGCCGATGACTCCGCTTATGTCCGGAAATGCGCCACAAATGCCATAAGTAAAGTGTTTGTGTTGGATCCAGAGCAGAAGGACGTTCTGGCTGAGATTATTGGGGAATTGCTCAATGATTCCAGCACAATGGTGCTTGGGAGTGCCGTACAGGCTCTTAATGAGGTCTGTCCGGACAGATTGGACCTACTTCATCGTCCGTTTAGGAAACTCTGCCACTTGTTGGCCGATATCGACGAATGGGGACAAACGGTGACGCTGCATGTGTTGATTCGGTACTGTCGAGAGCAGTTCCAAGCTCCTGTACAAGAGAAGAAGGAGATGTTCCCTAAAAGGAAGAGTAAAAAGGGGTTTTATTCCGATGAAGGCAGTGGATCAGACGATGACGAGAAGCAGAAATTGATGAAGAACCAGTCGCCGTTTCTACTAGGAGGGAGCGCCATGCCCTCTGTTGGCTCGGTGTTTCGTAGTGACGCACTGGCCAGCGGTATCGGGGGAGGAGAAGAGCTGGATGAAGACCATCGACTGCTGCTACGCTCGTCTATTCCTTTGCTCAAGTCGAGGAACAGCGCTGTGGTGCTGGCTGTGGCCACGCTGCATTATTACTGTGGCACACACAGCATGGCCACGTCCACGTTGATCGGCAAGTCGCTCGTGCGGATCATGCGCAACCAGCGTGAGATCCAGTACGTCGTGCTGTCGGTCATTTCGTCCATGTCCACGTCTCGTCCAGACATGTTTCGACCCTTTTTGCAAGAGTTTTTCGTGCGTGCGACGGATCCTGCCTACGCACGGAAGCTCAAGCTGGAGATCTTGACCTCACTGGTCACGAACGACAATGTCAGTATCATTTTACGCGAGTTCCAGGCCTATGTGCGTCATGTGGACAAGTCGTTCGTCACGATGACTGTGCGTGCTCTTGGTCGTGTGGCTGACGCCATGCCGTCTGTAGCGGAGCGCTGCTTGAGCGGCTTGATGCGTCTGGTACGCTCTTCAAACGACCAGGTCGTCGCTGAGAGCGTGGTGGTGATCCGCCAGTTACTTCAGCAGCAGGCTATTAAGAAGGACCGCCTTCTAGTTGTGCGCTCTTTGGCTGCTATGATGGTCACTGGCCGCGTGACGAGTCCGTCGGCTCGCGCTTCGATCGTGTGGATGCTGGGCGAGTTCAACGACGACGGCAACGGAACGACGTGTGCCGCTGAGTCGCTTCGTCTGCTGGTTAAGGACTTTTCGGACGAATCGACAGAAGTGCGGCTTCAACTGCTGAATCTGGCGGTCAAACTCGGACTTCGAGAGCCCCAGAAACGCACGATCCAGCTGCTGCTCCAGTACGTGATTGAGCTGTGCAAGTTCGACATCGACTACGACGTCCGAGACCGAGCGCGTCTGGTTCGTGCTGCGCTCTCGGGAGACGCGAGTGTCGTGAACCCGCACAAGTTGTTTGCTAGCAAGAAACCGGCGCCACTGATTGGCTATGACGACGAGACCAAGACGCGCTTCACACTCGGATCGCTGTCCAATGTGGTGCGTCATAGTGTTCCTGGATACCTCACGTTGCCAGAGTGGCGCTCGACCAAGCCGGACCGTTCGCTGCGTGATGAGTCGTCGTTTGTCGACACAAACCGCAGCAGTTCTTCGCGTCAGGGCACCAAGACGACGAAGAAGAAGGAGAGCGGCTCCAAGGGCTTTTACAGCGACGAAAGTTCCGGATCCGAGTCAGAATCGGAATCGGAATCCGGATCGGAATCCGAAAGCGGCTCGGAATACTCTGAAAGTGGCAGTAGTGACGCTAGTGGATCCGAATCGGCTTCTTCTAGTTCTGGTTCAGAGAGCGAGGCTTCGTCATCTGAAGAAAGCGAGTCCGAGGAATCATCCGAGGAGGAAGAGCACTCACGTCGACGTCACAAGAGCAAGATGAAGTCGCCGCCGCAGCCAAAGAAGACGAAGCCAGCCAATGCATTTGATCCGCTGGATCTCTTGGGTTCTCCTGCTATGGCTCCAGCCAACACTCAGCCCATGCAAACCTTCACTCCCATGGCTCCGTCGAGCAATCTTCTGGGTGACTTGATGAGTCTCAGCGTTTCTTCGTCGACCACGCCACCTCCGCGTCACGAACTGTTGTCGTCGCTGGCTGGGAACGGGCTGGACGTCCACTACGCGTTCCTCCGCCAGCCGTCGACCCACTCTCCTGGTATGAATGTGATCCAGTTGTGGCTGGCCAACAACTCGAACGAGCCCATTTCTCGCGTCCAAGTCGTCGGCACGAACCCGCAGCAGGTTGTGTCGTTCCCGGAGCTGCCTGTGTTGTTCCCTGGCGGCTCGACTTCTATGGCTCAGCTTCAAGTGGATTTCCAGGGACGGGTGGACAATATTCCGCTTGAGATTATCACAAGTGCAGACAAGTACGAGGTGGATCTCTCTCCTATTGTTGGAGAATTGTTTGTGCCTCAGCAGATGAATCTGGAGGACTTTGAGCGTCGCGTTTCGATGACGGACTCGACGTCACTGCACACCAGTGAGTTCACGCTGCCCATCCCAGTTCAGATGAACGCTGTGGTGCAGGCCGTTCAGAAGGAGTGCAACGTTGCTCAAATCTACGAGATCAACAACATGAATGGCGTGGTGGGCAAGTGCAAGTTCGCAGGTCGTTTCCGCAGTGGCGAGGCCAGTGCCGAACACGTCCTGATCGGGTTGGAAGTGCAGCTTCAGAGTGGTAAAGGACGTCTTCTCATTGTCATGCGGGACTCCGTGCTGGCCCAGCGACTCAGTTCGAGCATCAAGAAAGCTCTACCGCTTCAAGTCGCGTAAAAATTGCAGTGAAAGTCCTGATATGACGAAAGTTATACTATCATAGCAGAGAAGGGAATGCAGGACAATTCGGTGCGTGTTTTATCATGTTGTGGTGTGTTTTGACGACAGGTATCAGTCCAGGAACATCATGGCTGAGATGATAATGTTGATCACCGCTGTGGTGCCAAACAACGCAGCAAGGAACGATCCGAGTCCTTTGATCTGATCGAACTCGATGCCTGCTGTGATCTCCAGTACGATGGACGTGTAGTCGACGACAATTTCGACCACGACTTGCAAGAGGAGCTTGTACAGCTGACTCATCTTTCGCGCTGCCACCTCCGACTCGGACATTGAAGCATCTAGCGGTCTCAGTAGGGAATAGTGTGGGTGGTTGCTGTAGAAGAAGAGAATGGACGCTGAACAGCCGATAGCGATGTACTCGGCATACATATCTGCATTGAGCTCCGCTGTGTGGTACGCTTGGCGTTGGTGTCTCCAGAGTTCGAAGCCAATCTGCTTAGTAACAACCGAGGAGCATCGCCGATCAGTGACAGATTGTTGAATTGAGGCACGTGAAGCGCGTCCGGGGCTTTGAACTTGGACTGGTGGCTTGGTGTATTCGCGAACGTAGCCTTGTCGACGACGGATGCTGTAGGTTACGACAAATGCTTTGCCTACACGAACAAATATCTCAAGAATCGCCATCCCAAAGATTCCTGCTGCAGCTAAATCAGTGTCTTGCATGCCTAGTAGGACGATCCTCGCCTGAGTATCGATCAACACAGTGGGGACTGCAACCAGGATGCACATTACGCGAATGCTTCGAATGCGTTTCTTGATGACCAAATGTTTCGCACTCTCCTGCAAGACCAACTTGGCCAATGTGCTGAGTGTCATAAAGCACGCTACGACAATGGAACTCTGCTCTGCTATTCTCATCTGACTCAGGAGCTGCACGTAGCCTCCAGCTAGAAACACTGGTAAGCACGAGATGGCGCTGTTGACATACCCTCGCCAGAAACTTGGCGAGATGTACATGGGTACAATATCTGATGGCATTGGAGAGACTCTGGAATTCATGAGAAACCCAATCGCGATGACTGGAGTTTTGCGTTTTTGTCTTCGTCGATCCAGCCGATCTTTACCCTCTCGAGTTTTCTGAAAGTAGATTTTTCGTGCTGTTAGAATCACACTTGTGTTCATAATGTGATTGCAAATAATAATGCCGTAGAACTCGAGTTTGAACTTAGAAATGCCATCCGATTGAGAGAGCCACGCAATAAGTTCGCCCAAACCAAACATTAGCAATACGGCAGCGGTGAGCCAAGGCCCGGATCCCCAAGCTAGTTCCTTGACGCAGTATAGAATGGTTGGACGGCGTCTAGGTAGACTGATGAAGCGCTGGGTTAACATCGCAGGGACATGAGCTAGTACTATCGTTATCGCGTACAAAACCCCGCACCAAACAACATTTGCAACGATGAGTTCATATCTAGATTGGTCGCGAGAAGATTTTGACGAGAAGATGTTTCCAGTTGAATAGCATGTGTTCGCAGCCCATGCGCATGCAATACTACCAATAGCATTTCGAATAAGCATACGCTGCACTCGCATGGCTTGAGCCCATGTTCCACGTTGAAGCAGATCTTGGATAGCACTGTGCCACAATGAAAGCTTTGAGCTTGTTCTAGCCGCTATAGAAGCAGATCCCAATCGACTCGATGACGCCATGGAGCGACTTTCGGGCATAGTGTGTTTGAACTGCTTGCAAAAGTTGGCCGCACCGTACACCGAGTAAAGCTGCTACGAGGGAAGAGGACCAGTGATAGTGAACATGTAGACAAAGTGGATAATAATAGTGACGAAAGGGAGACGAAGTTACCTCGTGATAGTCCGTCATCATCGTCAACTTAATAATTTCTTGCGTGAAAAATATTTGACATTGGGTTCCGTCTGAAATAAGTGGCTCTGTGCGTAGTTTAGATTTGCGGGCTGTTGCGTTAATATATATTCGGCCAGGAAGCCCGAAAGTGACGGCTAAAAATAATATACACTCTGATTAAAGCACAAGGCGCCAAAAATCTAACCACCCGTCATACAAAAATGCTGCGGTATGCGGTAGATGAGTGCTCAGTCAACACTCTTCGGTGTGGTGATAGAAATGTGTGCGCAGCAAGTGTCTATATGATAGAGTTTGGTTTCCAGCTCACAAAGGCAAGAAAACCCGCCGTTGAGCAAACAAGAACGAAATGTTGAAGATTCTGGAGAAATTGTTATTCGATGACGTATCGACAAGAAATCCGAGCGAAGAAAACCAGTGGGAGAGAATAGCTGCCTTAAGTTGTAGTTCTGGGTTTGGAGTAATCAGTACCTTATCTCGATTATTCATACTCACGCAAACACTGTTGACGTCTACCAGCTCTTTTACATGCAGTATAGAAGTCTTTATATTTCACATTGTCACGTTGACATCGTTCTACTCAAGCAAGTGTATGCCGTGTTGACATCACTTCTAGCGTTTGGTCTTTGCGTAAATTTGACTGTCACAGTACTGGTGAGTTCGTTCCAATCACGTTCTTATTATACAATTAATTCTTCCCTCAAAACTTTCTTTTTCGTTCATCTACATCCAGTATCTTAGAAACATTTCTTTAAAAGATAAATCATTCACGCAATCTCTGCTTACACGGGTGGAAACCGCAGTTACAGACGATCCCCTCGGTAGTCATAGCGCTGGAAAACCCCAATTTATTACAGTGCACGAAAGTTACTGATGGGGACGAGTGATGCAGCTCGTTACTGGCGTTTTACCCTGTTTTGCTCTCCTATTGCCAGTTCTGCCTCGCCACACTGAGATATCCTCTCCTCTAGCCCAGCCAGCCCGCCTCACACTCACCAACACTCAACGACTGCTGTGCAAATATGCTAGTACCATGCTCATATTCCTAATTCTCCCAAACAGAGTTAGATTCATGGGCTAACAGCATCTACGATCTTCCTCTGATTCCATCACAAGCACTGATCTGGTAGCAATTAATACACAGAGAAGCACAGGAGCCACCTTCGGTCTCACAGTTGGCCACAATTTGCAGCACGCGCTGCGCCATCCTGAACTCGATAAGTTCCTTGCCAGTTGGGTCTACTGATGTAAAGAGAGGGGTGTTACCGTGACGGACTAGGCAATTAGACTGAAGGCATACGCTTCTCCGTGACCCTAAAGCTCGAATCACGTCCAAACTGGTCAAAAGGATAGGCTGACATTCGAACAATGCTCTTGTGCAGTTATGACTGTTCCCATAGTTAATCACCACAGATTAGGAATATTTGACTTCAAACGTATTCCATTTACAACTGAGTGGTGAGAGGGATTGTTTGTAAGAAACTGATCAATGGAACAGCTGATATATTGCTGTTAAGGGGACATTCAAAGCCTAGGGATTACTACCGAGGAGATCGTATGTATCTCACAACATCCGTGCAAGCAGAGATTGCGTGAATGCTTTCTCACAACTTACGTAATCTGACTAGTAACTTTGATTCCCTCCCTCTCATTTTGCAATTTCCACCAATATGGCCACGACAGCCTCACCAACAACGACATCATCCCAACTTATCGATGACGCTACCTTCGAACTCGAAGACTTATACAAAACGAATGTGCCAGTCGACGTGGATGTGGCGGATATGGTGAGCTTGATGCCTTTCCATAATACGACCAACAGCAAAAGCAAACGCAAGGACTTGCTCCAGGACGAAGGTCTGACAAAGGACCGTGTCTATCGTGGTCGGAAAAAGGACATGCTGGAGAGTTTGAGGTTACTGGACAAGGAGTTGACCAAGGCACTGGTGGATCTCCGACAACAGAAGGAAAGCGAGAAGTCCGAGTTCCTGTCGAGCAGAACGCCACTGTATTTTATCTGGGAAGCACATGCACGTCAGCAGAAAGAGTACCGACTCCAGGCCGAAGCAGACCAACGACAACTTTACGCCGCAGTCAGATTGCAGTCCTCATACATCCACAACCTTCATGACATCTTGCAAAAACGGCGTGCTGACCAAGAAGAACTAAGCAAGAAGCGTCGTCTCATTCCCAAGGAATCTGCGTTGGTTTGCGCGAGTATAAAGGAGCTCGAGGAAAACTATACAAGAACCGAAGAGGTATTTAGAACTAGTGGACTGTCCGCACTTCCTGATACTGAAGTAACAGTCCGTTCGGTTCATACAAGAGACTGCGATGGCGAAGTGGAGTACTACCAGCAGCTGAGCAGGCTGGTGCAGCCATTTTCCCTTCGTGAAACCGGGCATACAATGTGGGAATTAGGCGAGATGCAGTATTCCAACAAACTAAATTACCAGCGAAGCTACGACGTTGAGGACCCGGAGAACACGATTGCACTGAGCTTTGTTGAGTTAAAAAAGCTGAAGTGTGGTGCATCTGTCCCGCTAGTGCAGAGATGTATTGTGCGCCGGTTTGTAGACGAGGAATGCATTATCCACACATGGAAGTTTATCACCGAAGGAGCGGATATTTGCAAGGGGATGCAAGTTGAAGAAACTGGCTGGTGCAGACTAATACCTTCGGCGAATGCGGCAGAACCTGGGACGCAGATTGAACTGTGTATCCGCCGAGTACCAATGCACTTGAAAAGCGCACAATACCGAGAGTTGGAAATTGGCGAGTTTCATGATGCACTGCAGGAAGTCAGTGATGGAACGTTGAACGATGTCATGACGAAACTTGAGTCCTTGTTACTAGACGATGTCCTTGCGGGCATTGCCTAACGCTAAGGAATCACCACTTTCTCTTTTCTATTCCAAACACGTTGATAGTACCTTTCTTACGTACATATAAATAGCAATATTGATAACGCACAGATTATTGTTTGCTCAGCGTTTTCCACACCTCGTGATAGTCCAGGGCAATCTTCACAAAAAAAAAACTTGAATCCAAAGCATCTTCGTATTGATGATTGCAATAATTGTTATCGTTTTTTATCGATAGCTTTGCAGATACAATCTACTATATGTAGACCGTCCTAGCATTACTACGCCTTTGGATCGAATTGGTGCTCTTCGGCTGGTGTCATGGGCTGTCTCGGCTCCAAAACAACCTTCTTAATGATCACGAGCTATTATTATTCCAGCCGGCAATATTTAGCGGGTTGGATTTGTCAAAACAGATATACGCCGACTGAAATATTGATGTTGAGCACTGCTATAGCAGCGAGAAATATCGCAAGAAATGCTGCAACATTCTTGTCCATCGCGAACTCGACGCCTGCCATCATTTCCAATGAAGTGGCCACGAAATCAACCACCAGCTCAACTACCACTTGAAAGCCTAGCATTCGGAGCTGCGTTGACCGTTCGATAGTTTGCTCACCGTAGTTTAGTCTTCGTAGCAGCGAATAGTGAGGGTGATCACCGAAGAAAACGAGGATGGAAGCGGAGCAGCCGATTGCGATATATTCGGCGTATGTATCCGCGTTGATCTCGGCCACGTGGTAGGCTTGAACCCGGCCCCGCCACAGTTCGAAATCTGCTTGTGATGGAGTTGGTGATCTTGAATCTACAACATGTTGAGGCGAAGATTTCAAGGTTGATCTCTGACGCATTCGGTTGCGAATTGATCTTACGAGGAAATGTGCTTTTCCAACGCGCAAGCAGATCTCAAAGAGCGCCATTCCGAGCGTTCCAAGCGCCAATAAATTCGTACTTTGAGTTCCCAGAAGAATTATTCTCGCTTGAGTATCGATTAATACTGTGGGTAGCGCTACAGCAGCACACATGATACGGAGACTACGAATGCGTTTCTTGAGGATGTAGCGCTTGATACTTTCTTGAATAGTAAGCTTGAATACGACGCTTGCTATGACGAAACATGTAATGATCATATTGCTCCTGTCCATGATTCGTTGCTGACTCAGTACATGCACAAACATTCCAGCCAAAGCCGCAGGAGCTGATTTGGGGAATTCTCGGACATAAGCCCGCCAATATGAACGAATTTCCTTGCGTCGTGATAATGGAGTGAAAACCGATGCGAGACGTTCTTGAGCACTTGGGCCTTCTAACTTTTTATCTGATCTCTTAGACTTTGTAGAGGCTCGCTGTGCTCGCACAAGACGGTCTCGGCCTTGAACGCTCTCACGATAGTAGATTTTCTTTGTTGCCAATGTGATCCCCGTGAAATATCCGTGGACAGCCAACGTGTTTAGATAGCACTCAAATTTGTACCTGAAAAGTGCCGGATTGGCAGTTGCAAGGTATCCAATAAAGCAGCTCCACCCCAACATTACTGCCATGGTACTGAAAAAGTAAAAGGTTGTCGCACGCACGAGTTTCTTCAGACAAAACCAGCAAGTTGGCCGGCGATCTGGAGCATCGATAAATCTGAGAGAAAGCAACAATGGAATTTGTGCCAGGAGCATGATCGTGCAAAACGTAATCGAAGCCCAGAATGAGTTCGACACAATTAATTCTCGCCTTGATTGCTCGCGAGACGGTTTATAAGAGAAGATATTCCCTAGTGAGTAGCACGCGTTGACCAGCCAAGCACAGGCGACACTTGCTGCTGCATTCCTCATCACAATCATTTGCGTTCGTAAGGCACTAGACCATTTAGTGCGTTGCTGAAAATCACGAATAACGTGGTGCCATCTACTGGGTAATTTACACGTAGAGCTGAAGTTGTGCCATCCTCCACGCGTGCCGCCACTATCTGATGCTTTACAAACGCTCGGTGATATGGAGTTAACGGATGGACCGTCGTAGCAAGCTACCCTGGGCATAGCCAGCCAGTCGTGTCAGGTTCATAATCCACACACAGTCATCTATCAATAGGCCCGGGAAAATTTAACACAAGCTTCCTGGACAAGATTATCATCGTGTTCATGAGTCCCTCGTTGTTGATTACCGACGACCAACTCTCCGGAACCAACTTTTACCCACCTGACGGCGATGTGCACGTGCTGGTAAAAGGGGTTTATCGCGGGGGCCACTGGTGCAGGCAAGCCTGTGTCTACTAAAAGTTTTGCGGCTTCATTGGACCGTCAGATCTGGAGTGTGATTTGGGTCCATTGGAGCCGTTTGGAGATATCTTACGTGGACTTAGGAACTATGCAACAACGGATGATTGTCGATACCTCGGCATTTTCACTGCCTCGTACCCGAAACAATCGGTTGTTTGTGTGTCTGGATGGATTTAAACATACTAGCAAGGACTGCAACACTTTGGCCAGACTACTGTGCTCGCAACTCAACCAGGAGGACAGGATTGTGATTTGCACAGGAACCAGTTCGATTGGGGAGAGTAACAAGGAGGTGCTGAAAGCGAATTCTTTGTGGTCGCAAGACGAGTATCTCGCTGCCATCACCAACCAAGAGTTTTATGAAAAGATCGCGTCCAAGTTGGACACAACGAGCTCACTCGATTTGAATGAAAGCGATAGTGACGACGAATTGGATGAAGATGAAAAGAAGAAGCACGCTGTGCAGCTCAAGTTCTACTATGCTGGTGGCTCGTGTCGGTTCTTGTTTCAGTACACTACCAACGAAGTGAAGAGAATGCTGGAGAAGGGGCGGAATCCGCTAATGGACCTAGTTAAACACTGTGATGGCACTAAGCACAATGGAATGATAGACCACTTCTATGGAATGCAGTCAGACCGGCATAAACGATTTCCCGTGACGACTTCTCTGTTTGCGGCCGATTGTGTAGCGGAAGTCATCCAGGAGTTGATGAAGCGTATCAAGTAACCCTCAGTGGCTACCCTCAAGTGCGACTGCGCAACGTGTGGTATGGACAATTTGATGACTCAAATTTCTTTTTTTAACGGGTTTTGAATTCGGTGGCGATCAATGAGGATCAGCGCTTTGAAGAGGATTGACGGGAAACGCGAAAGCCAAGCTCGTGCTATTTAGTGCTGTTCGATGCAGCTCTATCTAGCTATCTTCGATTAAGTTAAGTGCATACAGCAATTTTTTTTCTTCAAACTGATCTAAATGAAGGGAATGGAGAATTCTATCGATCACTGTTTAAAGACTTAATTAAGCTTCCTAAATTAGATGTGGCCCGGTTTGTTGGTGGGTATTTCATTGAGAATCTCAATCTGGTCCTACAAGTTCGTCAATCAGGCTGTAACTGCAAAACTGCAGTTATGTTTGAGCGCCAGCGAGCGAAGGAATACGAGAAACAGCAGAAAGAGAGTGAGGAAAAGCGAAAGCAGGAGGCCAGTGTAGTTGACATCCAAGATCCAGTTCCGAGTGATGAAGCTTACGGAGGCATTGACCAAACGTCAAATGTTGCCGCTTTAGAGCAAACGTGGCCTGCACCAACTCAAACGTGGACAACGAATGAAACGGTTATGGATCCTTACCACAACTACAATTACTCTTCAGACAATCGTCAAACTGCATTTGGATTTTGCAATTTCAACTGCAATAAATCATTTTCTATCCTTCCACGCTCGGTCGCTATGATCTCGTCATTTTCGTTTTGTTGCCATGAGCAGCAAGCGAAGAAAAAAGAGCGATCCGCCTGATGAGGAGAAGTCTAAGCGTCGCTGTTCACAGAGCATTGCTGAGCCTACGCGACAGAAGACAGCTTCAGATGACAGAACTGTCGATCAGCCTGACGAGAAGAAACCTAAGAGTCGACGTTCAAGCAGAACTGCCAAGTCTGCAGAGCAGAAGGCAACCACACACGGGAGAGTGCTCGTTCATCCATCGACGTGGTTGGATCCTGCGTTGGCGAAAGACCTCTGGATGCCAGATGCGGATTCGTTGCAAGCGGTTGAGAAGACATCGCATCATCCACCTCTGGTTGATCGATTGCTCACGTCGTGGTTTGACGTCACCAACTTCACCGATGTGTTCAGAGCGACTCGGTGGAGAACGATGCGTACACCGTCGTTCGAAGATCTGCAGGAAGATCTACGCACGCTGGGAGAGTTAAGTGAAGAGAGCAAGTCTGTCAACAGTGTTATCAAGATTCACTTGTATCCAACTACGCTTCAACGCGGGAAGCTGGAGCAGATCTTCGCTGCGAATCGCGCCGTGTACAACAAACTGGTTGCTAGCTCCAAAGAAGATCGTGCAATGCGACTCGTGCCGCGGGGGAACTCCGACAAGAACGAAAAATGACTTCTGACGAGCTGGCAGATAAGTATCGACCAATTGCTAAAGAGGGAACGATGTCGCCGTACTTCCGAAACAATAAAATTCTGCGACGTTATCTTGGGGTCAATGACAAAGTGCGAGATTCCGCGTT